AAGGTTTACTTACATTTAATGAAGGCAGCTACTTCTTCTAGGCAAAAAATGCTTCTTAGTAACAAAAATGGAATCTAGACAGGCATGTTGCTGTTGTTCAGTCGTTTAGTCGTGTCCGACTCTTCGTGACCCCATGGACCACAACACGCCAGGCACTCCTGTCTTCCACTGCCTCCTGCAGTTTGGTCAGACTCATGTTTGTAGCTTTTTTTTTTTTTTTTTATAAAATTTTTATTGGTTTTACAAAATTTTTAAGAAAAACAAACAAACACTAAAAATGACAAACATACACGTATAGTTTCAAACATATTTTCATAAACCTCTTTCCTTGGACTTCCCCATACCCCCCCTCTCTGCATCCCAATGTCCATAATTCAACTAGCAACTCCCAATTGTTACTTTCCAATCTCTGTCATCTTAGTCCTCTTTTATATTTCTAACCTTATATCCCTGTACCCCTTTGTTTCTGGAAACCACAACATTTTAGCATTCATTAAGTTTATAGTAGTCCTTAAGATAACTTTTAAATTTTCTCCATTCTTCTTCCACCGTCTCTTTTCGTTGGTCACGGATTCTGCCTGTCATCTCGGCCAATGTCATATAGTCCATCACTTTCATCTGCCATTCTTCCAGAGTGGGTAGATCTTGTGTCTTCCAATACTTTGCGATGAGTATTCTTGCTGCTGTTGTAGCGTACATGAAGAAAGTTCTATCCCTCTTTGTCACCAATTGGCCGACAATGCCCAAGAGAAAGGCCTCTGGTTTTTTAGAAAGGTACATTTGAGTACCTTTTTGATTTCATTATAGATCATTTCCCAGAAGGCCTTAATCTTCGGGCATGTCCACCAAAGGTGGTAGAAGGTACCTTCAGTCTCTTTACACTTCCAACATTTGTTATCGGGCAGATGATAGATTTTTGCCAGCTTGACTGGGGTCATGTACCACCTGTAAATCATTTTCATTATGTTTTCTCTTAAGGCATTACATGCCGTAAACTTAACACCGGTGGTCCATAACTGTTCCCAGTCAGCAAACATAATGTCATGACCAATATCTTGTGCCCATTTAATCATAGCTGATTTCACCGTTTCATCCTGTGTATTCCATTTCAACAACAAGTTATACATTCTTGATAAATTCTTAGTGTTGGGTTCTAGCAGTTCAATCTCTAGTTTTGATTTTTCCACCTGAAAGCCAATTTTCCTGTCCTGTTTGAAAAGCTCCATTATTTGATAATATTGAAGCCAGTTTTGTACTTTATGTTTCAATTTGTCATAGCTTTGTAATTTCCACTTATCTCCATCCTGTTCCAAAATTTCCCAATACTTCGGCCATCCGACCTCCATATTGAGTTTCTTTACTGCTTTAGCCTCGACTGGTGACACCCATCTAGGGGTTTTGTTTTTCCAACAGATCTTTATATCTCATCCATACATTAAACAATGCTTTTCTAACCATGTGATTTTTAAAGGCACTATGCTGCTTAATTTTGTCATACCATAGATATGCATGCCAACCAAAAACATTGTTAAAACCTTCCAGATCCAAAATGTCTGTGTTCTCGAGGAGCATCCATTCCTTCAGCCAGCAAAAAGCTGCTGCCTCATAGTACAATTTTAAGTCCGGCAGGGCAAACCCCCCTCTTTCTTTGGCATCTGTCAATATTTTAAATTAAATTAAACATGTTTGTAGCTTTGAGAACACTGTCCAACCATCTCTCCTCTGTCGTCCCCTTCTCCTTGTGCCCTCAATCTTTCCGAACATCAGGGTCTTTTCCAGGGAGTCTTCTTTTCTCATGAGTTGGCCAAAGTATTGGAGCCTCAGCTTCACGATCTGTCCTTCCAGTGAGCACTCAGGGCTAATTTCCTTAAGAATGGATGCGTATGATCTTCTTGCAGTCCATGGGACTCTCAAGAGTCTCCTCCAGCACCATAATTCAAAAGCATCAATTCTTCGGTGATCAGCATTCTTTATGGTCCAGCTCTCACTTCCATACATCACTACTGGGAAAACCATGGCTTTAACTATATGGACCTTTGTTGGCAAGCTGATGTCTCTGCTTTTTAAGATGCTGTCTTGGTTTGCCATCGCCTTTCTCCCAAGGAGCAGGCGTCTTTTAATTTCGTGACTGCTGTCACCATCTGCAGTGATCATGGAGCCCAAGAAAGTAAAATCTCTCACTGCCTCCATTTCTTCCCCTTCTATTTGCCAGGAGGTGATGGGACCAGTGGCCATGATCTTCGTTTTTTTGATGTTGAGCTTCAGACCATATTTTGCGCTCTCCTCTTTCACCCTCATTAAAAGGTTCTTTAATTCCTCCTCACTTTCTGCCATCAAGGTTGTGTCATCTGCATATCTGAGGTTGTTGATATTTCTTCCAGCAATCTTAATTCCAGTTTGGGATTCATCCAGCCCAGCCTTTCGCATGATGAAGTCTGCATATAAGTTAAATAAGCAGGGAGACAATATACAGCCTTGCCGTACTCCTTTCCCAATTTTGAACCAATCAGTTGTTTCATATCTAGTTCTAACTGTAGCTTCTTGTCCCACATAGAGATTTCTCAGGAGACAGATGAGGTGATCAGGCACTCCCATTTCTTTAAGAACTTGCCATAGTTTGCTGTGGTCGACACAGTCAAAGGCTTTTGCATAGTCAATGAAGCAGAAGTAGATGTCTTTCTGGAACTCTCTAGCTTTCTCCATAATCCAGCGCATGTTTGCAATTTGGTCTCTGGTTCCTCTGCCCCTTCGAAATCCAGCTTGCACTTCTGGGAGTTCTCGGTCCACATACTGCTTAAGTCTGCCTTGTAGAATTTTAAGCATAACCTTGCTAGCGTGTGAAATGAGTGCAATTGTGTGGTAGTTGGAGCATTCTTTGGCACTGCCCTTCTTTGGGATTAGGATGTAGACTGATTTTCTCCAATCCTCTGGCCACTGCTGAGTTTTCCAAATTTGCTGGCATATTGAGTGGCACCTTTGCTGGCACCTTAGCAGCATCATCGTTAGTTGAGCTGGAATATCATCACTTCCACTGGCCTTGTTATTTGCAGTGCTTTCTAAGGCCCATTGGACTTCACTCTCCAGGATGTACAAGACATCCATATCTTTCTGGTATAATTCCTCTGTGTATTCTTGCTACCTCTTCTTGATGTCTTCTGCTTCTGTTAGGTCCTTACCACTTTTGTCTTTTATTATGGTAATCTTTGTACGAAATGTTCCTTTCATATCTCCAATTTTCTTGTACAGATCTCTGGTTTTTCCCATTCTATTGTTTTCCTCTATTTCTTTGCATTGCTCGTTTAAGAAGGCCTTCTTCTCTCTCCTTGCTATTTTTTGGGAATTTGCATTCAATTTCCTGTATCTTTCACTATCTCCCTCGCATTTTGCTTGCCTTCTCTCCCCCGCTATTTGTAAGGCCTCGTTGGACAGCCACTTTGCTTTCTTGCATTTCCTTTTCATTGGGATGGTTTTAGTTGCTGCCTCCTTTATAATGTTACAAGCCTCCATCCATAGTTCTTCAGGCACTCTGTCCACCAAATCTAAATCCTTAAACCTGTTCCTCACTTCCACTGTGTATTCATAAGGGATTTGACTTAGATTGTATCTTACCGGCCCAGTGGTTTTTCCTACTTTCTTCAGTTTAAGCTTGATTTTTGCTATAAGAAGCTGATGATCTGAGCCACAGTCAGCTCCAGGTCTTGTTTTTGCTGACTGTATAGAGCTTCTCCATCTTTGGCTGCAGAGAATATAATCAATCTGATTTCGATGCTGCCCATTTGGTGATGTCCATGTGTAGAGTCATCTCTTGTGTTGTTGGAAAAGCGTGTTTGTGATGACCAGCTTATTCTCTTGGCAGAACTCTATTAGCCTTTGCCCTGCTTCGTTTCCAGTTGTTCCTTTTATCTTTTGATTCCCTACCTTAGCATTCCAATCCCCTATAATGAGAAGAACATCCTTCTTTGGTGTCATTTCTATAAGGTGTTGTAAGTCTTCATAGAATTGGTCAACTTCAGTTTCTTCTGCACCAGTGGTTGGTGCATAAACTTGGATTACTGTGATGTTAAAAGGTCTGCCTTGGATTCGTATCGAGATCATTCTATCATTTTTGAGATTCCATCCCAGTACAGCTTTCACCACTCTTTTGCTGACTATGAGGGCCACTCCATTTCTTTTACGGGATTCTTCCCCACAGTAGTAGATATGATGGTCATTCAAACTGAATTCGCCCATTCCCGTCCATTTTAGTTCACTGATGCCCAGGATGCAATATTTATTCTTGCCATCTCATTTTTGACCACATCCAACTTACCAAGTTTCATGGTTCTTACATTCCAGGTTCCTATGCAATATTTTTCTTTACAGCATTGGACTTTCCTTTCGCTTCCAGGCATATCTGCAACTGAGCGTCCTTTCGGCTTTGGCCCAGCCACTTCATCAGCTCTGAATCTACTTCTACTTGTACTCCGCTCTTCCTCAGTAGCATGTTGGATGCCTTCCGACCTCAGGGGCTCATCTTCCAGTGTCAGAACTTTTATATTCCTGTTGCCTTTGTCCATGGAGTTTTCTTGGCAGGGATACTGGAGTGGCTTGCCAGTTCCTGCTCCAGGTGGATCGCGTTTGGTCAAAACTCTCCACTATGACCTGTCCATCTTGGGTGGCCCTGCACGGCATAGCTCATAGCTTCTCTGAGTTATTCAAGCCCCTTCACCACTGCAAGGCAGTGATCCATTAAGACAGGCATGTCTCCCCTTAAAACTCAAGGGGAGTTTCAATAAATACTGTGAATTTATCCCAGCATGAGAAAACAGAAGCTTTGTGCTATGTGCTCTATTTCTACCCAATTAACCATTCTCTTTCCTCCTCTGTAGCTTCAACCTTTCCTGAGGAATATCTTGTTTAACAACAGTGCTGGGGACATTGTCTTTTTTAATGAGAAACGTGAGCTAGAAGGTGGATTTGATATTATCAACTGGGTGACTTTCCCAAATAAGTCCTTCTTAAGAGTGAAAGTTGGGAAGATGGATCCCCAAGCTCCACTGGGCAGTGATTTCTCCATTGATGAGAAGATCATTACATGGCACCAGAGTTTTAACCAGGTGGGACCCAACTGCAGCTTCTGAGGTCTATAGGTTGACATGCACCAGATTTGTTTCATAATCATGTACGTACACCCTGCTGAATGAGTCTTTTTAGCTGCATTGATTCTTTGTATGGCTAGGGATGGGTTGTTTACATGTCACTGTAGTGATCTTGGTTTCCAGGGTTTAAAACCCTGCAACTCTGCCCTCATTCACTGGTCGAAATACCTAGACTATTTAGTTGAACCAAGATTTGTTGACCAGTGGTAGGGGTGTTGGTGTGGTGTGCCTAGAAGCAAAGGGTTAGAGCCTTTGTAGGAATTCTGTGGAAGAACTTTTTAGATATCATTCCCTTGGTTCCCATACAACTCTGCCTAACCACTGTATTTCTGCTGTTGCCATGTATGAGATGTCATTTTTCTTAACATGGAATGAGAGCTAAAACTCAATCTTTAAATAAATGTTTTGGAATGAGAACATCCACATGTGACAAGCACAGAAAGCATTCAATGCAAACTTGTGCTTTGTAGGAAACTTTAATTTTTATTCTGTGGTCCATTTTTTTAAGGAACCAAGTTGCCATTTCTCATCTGTATAAACGTATTTTAAAAGGAAACATATATCAGTAGGTCCATTGGCTTGCACATTTTATTTGCCTGAACCGTTTAGTACCTGAGTGGCTCAGTTGGTTAGAGCATGGTGCTGGTAATGCCAAGGTCACAGGTTTGATCCCTTTATAGGACAGCTGTATATTCCTGCATTGCGGGGGATTGGAATACATGATCCCCAGAGTTGCCTCCAATGCTTCAATTCTTTGATTCTATATATATATATTTATTGGTTTGAATATGCACAAATATTGGTGATTGAAACAACCATTGTAAAGATAGTGGTGCTAATTAATAATAATAATAATAATAATAATAATAATAATAATAAATACCCTCCGAGTGCATTATTTCAATGCAACACCCTGTTAATGAAAAGGCAAAGAACAAACAAAATATAATCAAAAACATGCAATACCTTCTGTTTATGGGCAGGTGGTGCCCCTTGCCTTGTGTAATGACTACTGCCATCCAGGTTGCAGCAGACAAAGGAAAGAGGGGGAACCATTTTGCTGCTATGATTGTACTCCATGTCCAGAAGGGAAGATTTCAAACCAGACAGGTACATTTCTGAGCACAATTCAAAGTGTTGGTTCTGACCTTTAAAGCCCTAAACGGCCTCGGCCCAGTATAGCTGAAGGAGCGTCCCCACCCCCTTTGTTCAACCTGGACACTGAGGTCCAGCTCCGAGGGTCTTCTGGTGGTTCCCTCACTGTGAGAAGCGAAGTTACAGGAAACCGGCAGAGGGCGATCTCAGTAGTGGAACGCCCTCCCATCAGATGTCAAAGAAATAAACAACTATGTGACATTTAGAAGACATCTGTTCTAGAAGACACCTGTTTCGGGAAGTTTTTAATGACTGAAGTTTTAATGTATTTTTTTTTAAAGTTTTTTTATTAACAATTTCAACATAACAAAATATCAAAACATATCATATTCATTATTTTTACCCTTTCCCCCCCACCCCATCATCAGAGGGAGAGAGCAAAATCCAGAGGGATTCCGGACAGCGTCCCGGGATTGGGAGAGGCAGCCCAATTTCCTGAAAAAGATATTTTTCTCTATTGTGTATGCTGTAAATTATATTGAATTATAGTGCAGTAAAATTCAAAGTTTCCTGATCCTGAAGCATAAATATCTGTATCTCAGTGAGACTGAAAATGCTATAACTGTAATCCTGATTTCTTTATACTGCAAGATATGGATGACTGCTTCCAGTGCCAAGAAGATCGGTATCCTAACCAAGAGAGAAACCAGTGCATCAGCAAGAAAGAAAACTTCTTATCTTATGAAGCACCTTTAGGCATCAGTTTGGCTCTTTTGGCTCTGGCTTTTTCTGCAACTACAGCCTTGGTGTTTGGAATCTTCATCCAGCATCAAAACACTCCCATTGTCAAAGCCAACAACCAGAATCTCACCTACACCCTGCTCATCTCCCTCCTGCTCTGCTTCCTCTGCTCCTTGCTATTCATTGGGCGCCCCCAGTTACTGACCTGCAATCTACGACAAACTACCTTTGGTATCATCTTCTCAGTGGCTGTTTCTTCTGTTTTGGCTAAAACCCTCACTGTGGTTCTGGCTTTCATGGCCACCAAACCAGGATCCAAGATGAGGAAATGGGTGAGGACAAGATTTTCCACCTCTATTGTTCTTGGATGTACTTCTATCCAGGCAAGTATTTGTATAGTATGGCTCTGTACTGACCCTCCTTTCCCAGATCTGAACATGCACTCTCTGCCTGAAGAAGTCATAGTGGAATGCAATGAAGGATCAGCCAACATGTTCTACTATGTTCTTGGTTACATGGGATTGCTGGCTCTTGTCAGCTTCGTTGTGGCTTTCTTTGCTCGGAAGCTGCCGGACACTTTTAATGAAGCCAAATTTATCACTTTCAGCATGTTGGTGTTTTGCAGTGTGTGGCTTTCTTTTGTTCCATCCTACTTAAGCACCAAAGGGAAGTACATAGTGGCTGTGGAGATCTTCTCCATCTTGGCCTCCAGTGCTGGAATCTTGGGTTGTATCTTCTCCCCAAAATGTTATATCATTGTCTTCAAGCCTGAACTCAACTCGAAAGAGCAGCTAAAAAAGAGAAATAAGTAGCAATGTATCAGGCGAAACCCAATTCCAAAGTAAGCACAGGCATTGCTTCTATTTATGTAGGAACACCAAATATTTCCAATGTGTCCCATATAGCCTGAAGGTATGATGTTTTGCTTCTGTCAGAGACTGCAGATTCATAAATGCTCTTGTGTTCCTCAGAATATTCTACACTTTTGTCTAAAGAATGATGCCTTAGGCTGCATGTGCATCATATTTTATTCCAGAATCAATGGAGATGGATTCCCCCCCCCTGTATAGTGTACACACAATTTTGATCTTGTGCATATAGTTTGTTCCTTAAAAGTGATTTTAAAAATAAAATAAAATAATTTGGTTTCATTTTAGTAGCAGACGTTTATTCTTTGGAACATGCGGAACTGCCCAAGGAAGCTGCAGTGCATGGTAGTATATTCTCAACTCTTTGTTGTTGTTTAGTCATTTAGTCGTGTCCGACTCTTTGTGACCCCATGGACCAGAGCACGCCAGGCACTCCTGTCTTCCACTGCCTCCCACAGTTTGGTTAGACTCATGTTTGTAGCTTCGAGAACACTGTCCAACCATCTCGTCCTCTGTCGTCCCCTTCTTCTTGTGCCCTCTATCTTTCCCAACATCAGGGTCTTTTCCAGAGAGTCTTCTCTTCTCATGAGGTATTGGAGCCTCAGCTTCACGATCTGTCCTTCCAGTGAGCACTCAGGGCTGATTTCCTTAAGAATGGATAGGTTTGATCTTCTTGCAGTCCATGGGACTCTCAAGAGTCTCCTCCAGCACCATAATTCAAAAGCATCAATTCTTCGGTGATCAGCCTGCTTTATGGTCCGGCTCTCACTTCCATACAGCACTACTGGGAAAACCATAGCTTTTACTATACGGACCTTTGTTGGCAAGGTGATGTCTCTGCTTTTTAAGATGCTGTCTAGGTTTGTCATCACTTTTCTCCCAAGAAATCATGGAGCCCAAGAAAGTAAAATCTCTCACTGCCTCCATTTCTTCCCCTTCTGTTTGCCAGGAGGTGATGGGACCAGTGGCCATGATCTTCGTTTTTTTTGATGTTGACCTTCAGACCATATTTCTCAACTCTTAACTTTTGATGTTGAGCTTCAGACCATATTTCTCAACTCTTAAGCAGATATTAACAATAAAACATCTGGTTTAGTTCTGAAAATAAACACTTACTACTCATTGCTTCTGCATTACTCTGCTGTGTGTCCATTTGAAAATATATGGAAGCAGCAGAATGCAATTCCAGCAATGGGAGATGTACTCACACCTTCCTTCTTTATTCACCTGGGACATAAGGAGGTCAACCTGATCAGGGTTATGGTTCTCAAATGAATGTTCTTTTCTTGTGGATGGTGGGATCCTAGACTAATCTAGGTTGTTAGCAATCCCAAAACAGTGAGGGAAAAGACATATCTCAAATGTCAAAGGTCAAGCTGTGTAGCTATGGTGCCACACTGCCCGCTCTGTGGGGAGGAAATTCCAAGGGCCACAAGAGACAACGCTTTTTCCCAGACCAACCTACTCTGATATGTCTAAGGGCAGTGAAACTACCAAGAAGGTGATTCTTAGGAGATGATAAAATTGAAGAGAGTCTGTAGAGAAGGAGATGCACTCTCAGTTGTTTAGGGTTTTAAAGACTAGCCTGAGCACATTTGCAGAACAAACAGACAACCAAGAACAATGTGGTGGCTTCTCTCTCCCGAAAATATCATCAGCCAGGGCAAGCAAGTCAGTATATTTGCCGTGACCAGGCCTGAAACCAAACTGAAATTGATCCAGACATTCAGTCTCCTCTAAGCATACCTGGAGCTGGACACTCTATATTTTTCTCTATTGTGTATGCTGTAAATTATATTGAATTATAGTGCAGTAAAATTCAAAGTTTCCTGATCCTGAAGCATAAATATTTGTATCTCAGTGAGACTGGAAATGCTATAACTGTAATCCTGATTTCTTTATACTTCAAGATATGGATGACTGCTTCCACTGCCAAGAAGATCGGTATCCTAACCAAGAGAGAAACCAGTGCATCAGCAAGAAAGAAAACTTCCTATCTTATGAAGCACCTTTAGGCATCAGTTTGGCTCTTTTGGCTCTGGCTTTTTCTGCAACTACAGCCTTGGTGTTTGGAATCTTCATCAAGCATCAAAACACTCCCATTGTCAAAGCCAACAACCGGAATCTCACCTACACCCTGGTCATCTCCCTCCTGCTCTGCTTCCTCTGCTCCTTGCTATTCATTGGGCGCCCCCAGTTACTGACCTGCAATCTACGACAAACTGCCTTTGGTATCATCTTCTCAGTGGCTTTTTCTTCTGTTTTGGCTAAAACCCTCACGGTGGTTCTGGCTTTCATGGCCACCAAACCAGGATCCAAGATGAGGAAATGGGTGGGGACAAGATTTTCCACCTCTATTGTTCTTGGTTGTGCTTCTATTCAGGCAAGTACTTGCATAGTATGGCTCTGTACTGACCCTCCTTTTCCGGATCTGGACATGCACTCTCTGCCTGAAGAAGTCATAGTGGAATGCAATGAAGGCTCAGCCAACATGTTCTACTATGTTCTTGGTTACATGGGATTGCTGGCTCTTGTCAGCTTCGTTGTGTCTTTCTTTTCTCGGAAGCTGCCGGACACATTTAATGAAGCCAAATTTATCACTTTCAGCATGTTGGTGTTTTGCAGTGTGTGGCTTTCTTTTGTTCCATCCTATTTAAGCACCAAAGGGAAGTACATAGTGGCTGTGGAGATCTTCTCCATCTTGGCCTCCAGTGCTGGAATCTTGGGTTGTATCTTCTCCCCAAAATGTTATGTCATTGTCTTCAAGCCTGAACTCAACTCAAAAGAGCAGCTAAAAAAGAGAAATAAGTAACAATCTAACTATTGAAGTCATTATAGTGGATAGATGTTGCTTACTGCGAGAACTTCAGTTGTCAAAATATGGAAAACCTTGCAGTACTTGCAGCCTGCTCCAGTATGGAAATATGTGTAGTTTAGCACTAGCTGAAAAATTCACCCCTCAATAATATGTTGCCAAAGGCTATGAAGATTGTGAAAAACTCTGTGCGGTTTGGTGGGATTTTATCATGTACAAAACACAAGAAATATAGACTCACAGGTTTCACTCTCCATGGTACAACATGAAATTGGGTCTTCCTAACGCTCTTAAGTACTCAATTTATCTATTTTTAATCTCTTTCTGATATATTTCTTTTATGTATTTGTACTTGTATACCTATTATTTTTATTATATTGCTCCGCTCAATTTATTTCAATTAAATAATATAGAATATGTGATAGTACAGTTGAAAGAGTCATCCAGTCCCAACCCCTGCATTGCAGGAATCTCAGCTAAAATACACATGGCAGATGGCCATCCAACCTCTGCTTTAAAACCTTCAAGGAAGATGAGACAACTACTTCCTGAGGGAGTCCCTTTCACTGTCTAACAGCTCTGACTGGCAGAATTCCCCCCCCCCGATGTTTAGTCGCGGAATCTCCTTTCTTGTTACTTGAATCCATTGGTTTGAGTCCTACCCTCCAGAGCAACAGAAAGCAAGCTTGTTCCATCTTCCATGTGACAGCCCTTGAGATATTTGAAGATGGCAATTATATACCTTAAGGATATTAAACATATTATGGCTAAACATACACAATCCATTCAACTGTTTCTCCTAAGGCTTGGTTTCCAAACCCTTGATCACCTTGATTGCCCTACTCTGTACACGCTTCACCTTGTCAACATCCTTCTTCAATTGTGGTGTCCAGAATTGGATACAGTATTCCAGGTGTGATCAGACCAAGGCAGAATAGAGTGGTACTATTACTTCCCTTGATATGGACCCTATACATTTGTTGATGCAGCCTAGAATAGAATTAGGTCTTTCTTTGCTGCTGCATCATACTGTTTGTCAGGAATGAGCCAGCTCCTAGCGAAAGTTTGCAGTTAACTGCAGAAAACAGCCAGAAACAGAGAGGCTGCTTTTATGTTAGTCAGACAGAGGAAATCCAGCAGCTGCATATTCTGGCTCCTCCTGACCTTGACGTGCAAGCTGATAAGACAGGAACGGAGGGCAGGCTAGAACGCAGTCAAAGCTCGCCAGAAGCACAAACGTGCAGGAAAGAGTTAAGAGACAGCCTCTCAGAGAATGGGGAAGAGGCGGGAGCTGACCCTCTCAGTCCAAGGTCTCGGCGAATGGGAGGGTTGCAAGATAGGAAGCAAAACAAAAGACGTAAGAAGTGAAAGTTCAGTTGTTTCTGGTCAAGCCAGAAGCAGTCTTCAGAAGGGTCATCTTGAATCATGGTGTCAGAGGCTTTGTTAGAGCCGTCCCGAGCTATCTGTTTGTTTTTGCAATAAATCCTCCTTTTTAATTAGCTACACTTACTGTGTTATCAAGCTGAGACCTGGACTCCTGACATGTTAACTCATGTTAAGCTTGTCCACCAAGACCCCCTAGATCCTTTTCCAATGTACTGCTAGTAAGCCAGGTTTCCTCCATCTTATATTTGTGCATCTAGTTCTTCCTGCCTAAGTGCAGAACCTCCCTATTAAAATTCATTTTGTTAGTTTGGATCCAGTTCTGCAATCTGTTACGGCTATTTTGAGTTATGATTCTGTCCTATGAGGGTAACTGTAAAGCTTTGCAATAAGGAGGAGGATTTTTATTCTGGTGCTTGTGCTGCTGGTGCTGTTCCCTCATATGGTGTGCAAATTCCATAGTTTTAAATGTATTGCAAATGATCCTGTCCCACATACATGGCACCAGGCAGGTGAAATCCTCCTTGGCTGGATTGTATCTTTTATTATCCTTTCCTGATGTTGACCTCAAGAGACCCCCCCCCACTGTAAGCCACTGTTTCTCCCTCCTCCCTGAAATGTGCTTTGATTATATTTCATAAGTGATTCCAACTTTATCCCTTCCAAATGGTGTGTTTGCTATATCCCCCACCCCTTAACTGTCAGGTGCACAGAATGGCTTACATAATCAAACAATAAAACAATATTACAGCAACCATTAAATCATGCCTATTTCCAAAAAGGAAAAACCTTGACCTTGACCCAACTAATCAGAAATTAAATGCCTGAGTAAAACAAACAAAACAAACAACAACCTATGCATGAATGAGACAGCAACAACTGCTGAAGCAAAATAAATAAGATAAAATAATGTGAAAAGTTCAAAAGCAGCCTGCATCTAAAAGGACAATCTGACCGTGGGGAAATGTGCTTTACCTCACAGGTAGGTTGAGGAAAGCTTATTTATCGTTGGTTGCAAATACTGGGATTGGACAACTGACTGAGGTAGGCGGAGACCTCCAGGTATCCCACCTGAGGGAAGGCAAACCAAGCCTATGCTGTTGGAGCCGCTCCAGATCTAGGGGCTGCGCGCATCCACGCAAAGGGCGCCCCCCGTTTTAAGCGTGGAGCGGTCATTCTGTGCGCTGCTCTGGTTCGCCAGAAGCGGCTTAGTCATGCTGGCCACATGACCCGGAAGCTATACTTCAGCTCCCTCGGCCAATAAAGCAAGATGAGAGCCGCAACCCCAGAGTCGGCCATGACTGGACCTAATGGTCAGGGGTCACTTTACCTAGCTAAATGTTCAGGGGATTGGGTGCTAATGCTTATATTAGTTTATTTTGACCAACCAGCTTTCCCCATTAACTTTATTATTATTATTATTATTATTATTATTATTATTATTATTATTTAAAGCAATACCCAGTCTGCTAGAACATCCTATTTTGTACATTGGTTGTGGTAACCAGTCAACTGAACAAGGACTTCGACAAACAAATGCACTTCCTCTCACATCTGCATGCAACAATCCAAGCAGTAAAGTGGAGAGGGATTTTGGACTGGACATGGGATTTGGGGTATGAGAATGCCCATCATAATATTGCCATTTCTGTTCTAAGCAAGGGTGCTTTCTGTCTAAGTTTATCATTCAGAGCTCATCACCACTGTGGTGACCACAGTGGGTAGTCTCACTGTGGAACAGCAGAAAGTTATGTTGACATTTCACAAACATGGTTATGTCAGCCGTTGATACAGTAAATGGGATCCTCCTTAACGTGGGTCCTGGTTGCGCTCGGGCCCCTAAGGCACCCCCACAGGGTGAGTTCTTGTTGGGCATGGCCCAAGCCTTAACAGTTGGGCCCTGAGATCATGCCTGGCTGTTTGGACCAATCTGGATGTATGGCATGATTCCTGGGGCATATAAAAGCAGTAGCATGACATAATAGGGGATACTTGCTTCGTGCTGCTGAACACCCTCCTGTTACGGAAAAGGAGCAATGCAGCAGCGAGCTGCAGCTGGCTGGAAAGCAAAACAGGATGTTGATGTTTGGGACTGTACCATGGGAACAAAGGGACAGTCTATTCACTGTGCTGAGCACCGGATGTTAGCTCAGAGTGTCATTTGACCTGTACAGGAAGTACAGGAGGTGGAGTTTGTCTCTCTACTGTTGGTGTCTGAAGAGAGCAGATGCGTTTCTCTGAAATACTGCAAGGACAGAAATAAAGGCATGTAAATACATTTCTGTCTATCTCTTTCCCCTCCCTGGGGGGAGCAGGGAGCAGGGAAGAGTGGTGTGTTCTTCTCACGCTTGAGGAGGATCGCCGATCGTGACCTAGCCTGTATCCTGCCGGGAAACGCAGACAGGGAGGTCAACAAGGAGATCAAGCTGGGTGCCTGGAGAGTGGCCAGTTTCTATGATAAGGCTTGAGATCCGACAACCTAATTTTAGGTTGTGCTCTTTGGCCTTGCTTTGGATTAGGTCACCTGTTTTGGAACAGGGGCTGGGTAGGGTTAGGGTTCCACTTGGCAGATTGGCTGTAGCCACTTGGTTTTCACCTACCCCCTTAGCAATCGTCACAACTTTGTAAGGTGTGGCAGTTAGGCATTGGATCAGCAATGTGTGGGAGGGGAGGTGCATCCATCACCTGCCCCTTCAGAAATAGGGTATTCCGGTAAAGGAATCAGGGGGTCCTGGATCTTGTCCGAAGTCTGCTAGAGAGGCTAGACCCATGCCAGGACAACAGCAACCCCGGGGTGAGTTTCGGTTGATCTTCATCAATGTTGCACCCTCGTTTGGTGTTCACCCTTTCAGACTACCAGCCAGAGAGGCAGGAGTCAGTTAAAGTCTGTTGCCAATGCCTAAGCCAATACCGCTCACTTTTGCTGTAGTCAATAAAGTTGTGGCCTAAATTATTGCCCAATAACTTAAACTAAAATTATGTGTCTGTGTGAAGTTATTTACAGGGGAACGGCTTGGTGGCCTCTAAGCGCAACCCTGTTACTACTGATGGAATGCCAAGCCCCAAAACACTGCAGCAGTTATTATCTCTTCTATAATTATCAAACTTACAGTCATTATTTCAATGGCAAATCCAAAGCTCAGAGTTTCCTCCCAGAGGCATGGGGGGAGGAGGGAAATAAACAAGCAAGTGAGTGAAATAATATAAAGCCCCAATGAGGTAGATACACCCAAGTGTAGGGACTAAGGGCCGGCAGGGCCATGTCATTTCAAACTCTGTCAGTTTCCCCCTTTCACTGTATAGATCAGTCAAGCATTCAGATAATGTTCTTAAAATACAGAAATGAATTAGAAATCCTTTAGATTGTAAATCTAAAAGTGGACACAAGTCTCTTTAACTAGTGCATTGGCTGGCAGTCAGCTAAAATTTAAAGTGCATTCTTTAAAGTAGGATGAATTGAATTTATTGAATAGAGTTTGGATTTGATATCCTGCTTTATCACTACCCGAAGGAGTCTCAAAGCGACTAACATTCTCCTTTCCCTTCCTCCCCCACAACAAACACTCTGTGAGGTGAGTGGGGCTGAGAGACTTCAAAGAAGTGTGACTAGCCCAAGGTCACCCAGCAGCTGCAAGTGGAGGAGCGGAGACGCGAACCTGGTTCCCCAGATTACGAGTCTACCACTCTTAACCACTACACCACACTGGAGAACCATTTGGAAATCAACTATGCAGCTTTGACATCAGAATGATCGTGACTGTGGTCTTCATGGTTCTTGTGGCGGTGTTTCCTCACGTAGTGTGCAAAGCGCACAATGTTGTGTGTGCTGTGAATGATCTTGTTCATGTTCCACATGAGTGGCACCAGCCAGGTGAAATTCTAATTGGTGGGATTGTGTCTTATATCTATTATCTTGTACCCGGCGTTGACTTCCAGAAACCCCCATCTCAGGAGCAGATTGATGTTCCACTGTAAGATATGATTCCACCCCCTAGATTTGAACTTTCTCTATACTTTGGTAATTCCTTCTGTTTCCATGACTGCTGACCCATGATTCCAGTTACAGATAGGTAGCCGTGTTGGTCTGCCATAGTCAAAATAAAAAAATTCCTTCCAGTAGCACCTTAAAGACCAAGTAAGTTAGTTCTTGATATGAGCTTTCGTGTGCATGCACACTTCTTCAGATACCAGTGGTATCTTCTTTAGTGGTATCTGAAGAAGTGTGCATGCACACGAAAGCTCATACCAAGAACTAACTTAGTTGGTCTTTAAGGTGCTACTGGAAGGAATTTTTTTATGCTGACCCATGAGTGAGTGAGTGAATAAATGTGGGCATATTGGCAAGAAACCATTGTTCATGCAGACAGTGAAATGTTCCTAAAGCTTAATTTATAATGAATTTAAAAAGATGTTCAAAATTTCATTTCCCCAAAAGCCTGAAGCATTCCTTTTAGGGATTATTGGGAGTGAGATTCCAAGAGACCTAAAGAAAGTGTTCATGTGTGCCACCATGACAGCAAGAGTTTTGATCGCTCAGAATTGGAAAGCAGAGATCTTACTGACAAAGAAAGATTGGCTGATTAAATTGATGGAGTATGCCGAGATGGATAAACTGACAGGGCAGATAAGAGATCCAACGAAACAAAAAGTCAGAAATGATTGGAATATATTTAAACAGTATCTGAAAGACCATTGTGGAGAATTAAAATTTTTGAATAACTCCTGTAAGAAAAAATATTAAAATACAGAGGGAAAGTAGGTTACCAAATATATAGATATAGATTTGTTGGGCATTCAATTAAAAATAAATAAATAGAGGACCCAAGTAGGAAGGGAAGTCAAGTCAAGTGCAAATGGAGTACAAATGAATTAAATGATTAAGTGCATTTTTTTCTTTATTATGTTTTAGAATCACATATTTAGTAGAGTGGTACCTCTGGCTAAGAACTTATTTCATTCTGGAGGTCTGTTCTTAACCTGAAACTGTTCTTAACCTGAAGTACCACTTTAGCTAATGGGGCCTCCCACTGCCGCCGCATAATTTCTGTTCTCATCCTGAGGTAAAGTTCTTAACCTGAGGTACTACTTCAGGGTTAGCAGAGTCTGTAACCTGAAGTGTTTGTAACCTGAAGCGTTTGTAACCCGAGGTACAACTGTAACAAGAAAACTTAGATGTTAGAAAGTGATTTCATGAACGTTTGTTAAAAGAAACCAATAAAGATGAATTGGGAAAAAAGAAAAAAGAAATGTCCCTAAAGCACTATTCACATACTGTATCCCAAAGGCAACAGTACTGTGGGAAAATGTGCTTTACATCACAGGTATATGGGGGACAGTTCCTTATAGTTGGACTTGAAAAGGTGTGGCCAGGTGGGTCATGGGGTGGCATTCTGTCAGGTATGCTTCATTTTTGGAACTGGAAATGGCAGCTCCCAACTTCCTTTATTGCATTTCGTAATTGGTTTGCAGGAGGCTGCCAGCAAAGTGACGCCCCATTGAATGTAAAGGCGTAATTAGGCATTGCAAAAGGAATTACCTTTGCTCAGTTATGTCCCTATCCCAGGCAACTTAATCTATTTTAAAGCAGAGCAGACCTGTAGATCTGGGGGGGGGGGGCACAATTTCATGCACTGTTCAAGTATTTCAGAATTCTACAATGAAACATCATATTCTTCTTGCAGCGTGGTGACAAAATTCTATCAGCACATCCTGGCTTTGGTGTTTGCTGTCCAGGAAATCAGTAAAAACCCTAAGCTTTTGCCAAATATCACTATTGGATTCCATATTTATGACAGCTACTATGATGCACGGATAACATATCGTACCACGTTGGGCCTGCTCTTCCAGTCACGTAGGTTTGTCCCTAACTACAAATGTGGCAGGCAGGGGAATTTAATGGGAGTCATTGGCGGTCTGGATTCCGATACCTCTTCACACATGTCAGACATCTTAGGCCTGTACAAGATTCCACAGGTAGGATTCATGGGTTGGATCTATGGGATCTTCTCTAATCTCATGCATCTGTTCTTTCCTCTTTCAGATAGCAATTTCAAGATTGAAATTTTTGATTGGGGAAAGATAGGATGAAATACATGGATATGAAATGTCTATTCTGTAGTTTGTGGATACATCCGAAACTCCCTCACTCTAAATTATATGAGGGTTGATAACATGTAGGCCTTCAAGTCTTTGGAATTCCCATCACAGCGAAGTACAGCTAGCCCATCATCAGTCAGCCTATCTCTCCTCTGTTCTTTTTTAAAATAATACAGTTTTAAAACTATCCAATTCAGAAGCACTTTTGAGATGAGGAAGAAGAAAGAGGGTGTACTGAATTATTATATGGTCTCGTTGAACTTTAACATTTGTAAATTTCAGTTAAAATGTATTTAATCATGGTTCTTTTAAGAATGTTTTATGGATATATTAAGTTATTTAAGGATATATTAATGCAGCTGAATAATTTTTTATTGAATTTTTGAAAATTTTATACATATAAAACAAAACCGTTTCAAACATTAAAATACAAGGTTCTTTTGAACCTTCAGACCTCTTTCCCTCCCTCCAAGCATTCCATATTCAGATTTAAGTTTATCCATCTATTATATGACCATAATTACCATAAATAATTCCACATTAACAAGTTCCAGATTACAAGATTTTAACTGTGGACAGTGGTCTTTTAAATAAATTACAAATTTATTCCAATCTTTAGAAACTACTTGATCTTACTGGTTTCGGATCTTCCCCATCAGTTTTGCAATTTACGCAAACTCCATCATTTTCATCTGCTTCAGATTGACCAGGCCGATTTGCCAATAGTGGCTTAATCAATAGTTCCCTCGCTTGATCCTATTGTCCTCAAAGCAATAAAATATGCCTCATACAGTCAACATCCTGAGAGCACACACAGATCCTTATTTTGATAAGGAATACCTCTCAGTCTGCCATTTAACACTTCTGATTGAAATACTTTTAATCTGGTATGTTGGTACAGACAAATTTCTAAGATATGCAGGTGTCTAAAACTCGAACCCATTGTGGATTCCTACTGCTAATGGGCCATAAGTAATAACTCAATAACTCAATAAATAAATAAATATTGCTATGTCAAAGAAGTGATTCAGTTAAACGTGTTGCAAGTTCATACAGGGAAATCTGATAGGGAAAGATGAGACTCCACAGCACAATCTGGTGCCACAGTGTTACATTGCATATACAACACATATAAAACATTTAAAAACACACTCACAAAAACCCACAACAACAATCTAGCTGAGTCCCAGGTCTACTCAGTAAGAAAACTTATTATATCAATTGGACTTAATTGAAGATTATATATATAGAGAGAGAGAGAGCGAGAGAGAGGATTATAGTCTAAGTATGACCCTTCCTTGAAATGTCTCCTTTTTAAAAATTTTAGTTTTCATATGGCTCATTCCAACGAGTCGTGAATGAGCAAACTGATCTTCCTTCTTTTTACCGCATGGTCCCTAATGAAGAGCTTCAGTACCAGGGAATTATTCATTTACTTCTGCATTTTGGATGGAAATGGGTTGGAATCATGATTTTGGATGATGACAATGGAGAGCATTTCTTGAAGACTATGGAGCCCATGTTTTCCCAGAGCGGGATCTGTTCAGCTTTCACCAACAGAGCTCCAGATGAAATGCGTTTCCACAACCTTGCTGAAATGAATGATTACATTTTGAATAGCATTAAAGGTTTCAGAAAAACCAAAGCCAATGCAGTGCTTATATATGGTAAAACAGCCATCATTAGGTGGTTGGCAGCCATTCTGTGGTGGAAAAAGTTATTGCCTTTAAGCGATCTTCAGTATGAAGAATATATGATTCCTGGAAAGGTGTGGATTACAACAGCTCAAATTGATTTTGCATTCTTTATATTGCAAAGGACGTGGGATGTTCAAATGTTTCATGGAGCAATTTCATTTACAGTTCACTCAAATGAACATCTTGGCTTCCAAAATTTTATTCAGTTTATAAACCCTTCCAGTTCAACAGAAGATGGCTTTATCAAAGATTTCTGGGAACAAGCATTTGATTGTTTCCTGCAAAATTTTGATGAATCCTGTACTGGAGAAGAGAGATTGGAGAGCCTTCCTGGACCTTTTTTTGAAATGAGCATGACAGGCCACAGCTACAGTATCTACAATTCTGTGTATGCTGTGGCACATGCCTTACATAGAATTTCTACATCTAAATCCAAACACAAAACAATGAAGAATAAAGGTGGACTAGATTTCCTGAATGTGCAACCTTGGCAGGTAATAGCTCGTCGCTGTCAAAGGTCTAATGTATATTACAGATGTGTGATGTTCAATTGCCATTATGCCTGACAGAAAATGGAGACTCCTCTCTCTTCTTGTGAATCTTTTCAATTCTTTTCACTGCAAAGCAAGATGGCCTCATTCCAGTGTATTTTGACATAGGAATTCTCCTTAAGTGACACAATCTTCTTTAATTCTATAAGATATGATAGTGCACTCTTACTAATATTGTAAATATTTATCCAAAAGTGTCATATAATTGTTGACAATGTACAGATGGAAATTAGATATGTTTAAAGAATGTTGGATATCCTTTATGCTACAAATGAAGCTATGAAATCCAATTATCACCACTAGTAAGGTCGGGGCATGTATAAAGTACCATCTACAAATATCTGTGAAAGGGAAAGCAACCCATTTGTGATTATTCAGATTATTCAGAAACACTGAACTTCATTCATTGACTATTTGAATCAAAATAGTCTTGAACAATTGATATTCTGCAAATGTATTAAAATGAATTTAATTGTATGGCACCTGATAGACATATCCAAGTTCTATGTTTTATCTGTCAACTTGGTTCTACCATATACAATCTACTCAGTATAAGCCGTACTATTTTATAAAGATGGAATCAATTTTTTCCCCTTCACATAACGTTTATAGTGTCTGGAAATTGCTTTCTTAATGTAAAATCTATAGAAAAAGTATATTCTCAGTGAGAATATTTCAATATTTTTAATGTTATTCTATTCTCTTTCTCCCTGTAGCTCCATTCATGGCTTCAGAGTATCTCATTCAACAACAGTGCTGCAGATGAAATCATGTTTAACAAAGATGGAGAATTATCATCTGGGTTCGATATTACAAGCTTGGCCACTTTCCCAAATAACTCCTATGCCAGAGTCAAAGTGGGAAGACTAGATCCTCAAGATTTTAAAAGAGCTGTATTATCCATTAATGAAGAGAAAATTGAATGGCACAGAGATTTGACTCAGGTGAACGGGATTTATGATTATCTAATTTGTGGTTAGTCAGTACAGTGGTACCTCGGTTTAAGAACAGCCCTGTTTATGAACTATTCGGTTTGCGAACTCCGCAAAACTGGAAGTAGTGTCCTGGTTTGCGAACTTTACCTCCGTCTAAGAATGGAAGCCGAATGGTGGAAGGGCACCTGCGGCAGGAGTCTTCATTAGGGAAAGTGCACCTCGGTTTAAGAACAGTTTTGGTTTAAGAACGGACTTCCAGAACGGTTTAAGTTTGTAAGCCAAGGTACCACTGTATATTTAAGGCAACCGATGGAGAGACTCTTCATGCAATGTGTCATTGATTCTTACTGTAAGCTGAAAAGGCAGAGGTGTTATGTATTCCAGGTTGAGTTCTAGAAATGGGAAGATAGCCTCTTTTTTGATAAGCTTGCGCTCCCCTGGAAGGAGCAGGTTTGTAGCTTGGGGGTAGCCCCAGATACAACATTGTCACTTGTGGCCCTAGTGGCCTTAGTGCATAGGAGTGCCTATTTCTAGTTTCATCTGGTTCACCAGCTAAGGCCCCTTTGGGATAGAGATGACTTGGCCATGGTATTTCATGACCTGCTGATTTCCATATGGAATCATTGCAGTGCATTCTACGTGCAGCTGCCCTTGAAGATGACTTGGAAACTTCATCTGGTACAAAAGGCAGTAGCCGGGTCATTTTTTTCAGAACACACCCTATCTATGTGGCTGAAATCAGTTTTAAATTGTTGTAATCTACCCTGCTTACTAAGAAAAGGGATAATGCCCATTATGCTGTGCTTGGGGATTTTTATCTCTACAGTTGTTTAGCTAAATCAGGCATCCCCAACCTGCGGCCCTCCAGATGTTTTGGTCTAAACTCCCATGATCCCTAGCTAACAGGACCAGTGGTCAGGGAAGATGGGAATTGTAGTCCAAAACATCTGGAGGGCCGCTGTTTGGGGATGGTGGGGGTGGTGGATAATTCTCACCACACATAGAAAATTCACACACACAATCACATATACAAAGCGTAATATTAAATTATACATTGACTTCCCTTCCCCCCCTTCCATGATTCCTTCTGATTACCCCTTTTTCCTTTTGTCTCAGCATAATTTTTACTGCTGAATTTACTCTAATCCTGCTAATGTTTTAACTTGTTTACAATGATTCTTCAAATATTCTCTACACATTTCAAATCTCCCTGAAATACCCTTTCCTCTTGATCTCTTATTCTGCTAGTTAGGCATGCCAATTCTGCATATTCCATCATTTTTGTCTGCCACTCCTCCTTCATTGGCACTGCTCCCTCCATTTCTGGAGATATACCATTTGGGCTGTTGCAGTTGCATAGAGAAACAGATTCCTTTGATCTCTGGGGACATCTGACTCATTTATTCCTAAAAGAAAGCCTTCTGGTCTTTTTATAAAAGACCTTTGAAATATTTTATTATTATAATTTCATTATTTACATCCCTTCACCTCCAACCGAATACTCCAGTGCCTAACCGCCAAACCTTACAAAGTTGTGACGATTTGCTACAAGGTAGGTGAAAAACCAAGTGGCTGGTGCCAGTTTTCCAAGTGGAAGAAAATCCTACCAGGCCCCTTCAACAAAGGATTAAGAGCCTAACTATAGGGAGGGAGGGAGGGATGGAGAACTGTGTGAGCGTGAACCAAAAGGGGCCAAGTTCCCACCGTGAGCAGCTTAAATGGCATAAGCCAAGCCCCCCCCCCCAGCCAACCAGATTGGTCGGCCCAAGGAGTGAAGCAGCCAGGGACTCCCTGTGATGCGGGGGCCAGCCCTGCCCCCCCCCACGGGGCGGGCTCATGACCAGTCCGCAACTTCATTTCCCTGGGGAAGGGAAATGGCTTTATTGGACATTGTGGATTGGATATCATTGTTGGATATCATCAGATGTGTAATAGTTGATAATATCTAAATCAACATTTCTGAAACATTTTCTGAATGCTAATTTCCTCCTTTGTTTAAAACCAGGTGCCTCCCTTCTCCTTATGTAATGAGAACTGCCTGCCTGGTTACAGCAGGAAAGTGATCGAGGGGGAGAAATTTTGCTGCTACATTTGCGCTCCGTGTCCAGAAGGGATGTTCTCAAACAAGGAAGGTAGGTTAGACATTGTAAAGACACATGGATATAATGAAATGACAGCTGAATCTGTGATTATTGATGACAGAATGTCTATCCCGTATCGTTATTAATGCCTCCAATTGTTCCTCCACATACCCACACCAAAGTTACTGACAAGGCTTAGATAGACTGTGGCTTTCTCCCTCTGCAGGAATTGTCTGCCTCCAAAGACAAATGGAATCCAGTCAATCCCATAATTGGGGAATTGCTGGTGCTGCTGTTGAGCGTGTCCTCCCCTGGATGATAGAGTTCAGTTACGTGCCCCATTCACCAGAGTAGTTAAGGGCAATGCTACAAAAACAGAGTTTCACTAGGTGGTTCAAGGGAAGAGAATTTTAGGGCTTAACTGCGAGTGATTGCCTGCTTGAGCCAAATGTATTGGTTAAAGTTTTGTGACGAAAGGCTCATTCTAGGCCAATTCAGATGGGTCAAGACTGTAGGTCTCGCAAATAAGAGAGCTTCCTTTTATAGAGATTCAGTGATACACTGTAGTGGCAATGAATATGAAGCTTTATTAAAGATACAGAAACAAAACTATAGCAAAGATATGACACACTTGTTCTCTGATTACATTTAGAAATGAGAACCATCCCCTTGGGTAAATCTGGGTAGAGGAACTCCATACTATGTGTGATATGTGTCTTTATTCTGATTCCCTCCCGAAGCTGCAGCCCAAGCCATATATAGCTATTATCTTTAATAGCTCTATATAGCTATTAGCCACTGCCATATAGCATGGCTTCTGTTCATCTATATTCACAAAACAATGGTCTGGAAAGCCACCGAGAGATCAAGTTAGAGAAGCAGGGTCACCTTTCCCTGTCTCTCTCCTGATAAAGGTCATTCATCATAAACATATCATTTCTAGCAATATTACCATGCAAAGAAGCCTGTAAGTGTGATAAGTGTGAGAAGATGTGAAAGAATTAATAATATATTTTTGAAGAACAAAACGACATAGAGCAAGAAGTACAACCAAGATTTTGGACAATTTCCCTGGATGTCCTGCCAACCACTATTGTATTTCGCATTTCATTTCAACCCATCCCTAAAATAATTAATTGTTCTTGGTAGATCATGTGATTTTTCAAATAGAAGCCAATATTTATAATACCTCAAAACCCTTACATAAGCATATTAGGTTAGGAGGATAGAATGGACGGTAGCCCCATGTTCAGAGTTTTGGTAATAATTACTAATAACTACTTATTAAGATGAATTCCAGGAAAGATGCTCATTGTTCTTGAAAATAGAAGAGTGTTTAAGAAGCATATGTTCTTCTTTTAGACATGGATTATTGTATCAATTGCCCAGGAGATCACATTCCAAACAAGGGACAAGATAAATGCATCCCCAAGACGCACAACTTCCTCACTTTTGATGAACCTTTGGGCATTACTCTAGTTTCTTTGGCTATTCTTTCTTCTCTGATGACAGTTATGGTACTTGGAATCTTCATTAAGCAAAGGGACACTCCCATCGTCAAAGCCAACAACCGGAGCCTCACCTACTTTCTTCTCATTTCTCTCCTTCTTTGTTTCCTCTCTGCTTTGCTCTTCATTGGAAAGCCTCAGAAGGGGACCTGTCTCCTGCGACAAACAGCTTTTGGCACCATCTTTTCCATTGCTATTTCTTCTGTTTTGGCCAAAACCATTACAGTGATTGTGGCTTTTATGGCCTCCCAGCCAGGAAACATTTTCCGGAAATGGGTGGGGAAAAGATTGGCATATTCTCTTGTCTTGGCTTGCTCTCTCCCTCAGTTTGTCATTTGTGTTATTTGGTTGTGTACCTTCCCCCCATTCCCAGATTTGGACATGAACTCATTAACTGGAGAAATCATTGTGGAATGTAATGAAGGGTCACTTTTCATGTTCTACTGTGTCCTGGGGTACATGGGAATTATGGCAACCATCAGCTTCACCATGGCTTTCCTGGCAAGGAGGTTGCCAGACAGTTTTAATGAAGCCAAGTTCATCACCTTCAGCATGTTGGTTTTTTGCAGTGTTTGGCTATCCTTTGTGCCAACCTACTTGAGCACAAAAGGAAAATACATGGTGGCTGTTGAGATCTTCTCCATCTTGGCTTCTAGTGCTGGGTTACTAGGTTGCATATTTTCCCCCAAATGTTATATTATTATATTGAGGCCAGAACTGAACAAAAAGGAACAGCTAATAAGAAGGAAGCAATAAAAATCAAATAGGTTCTATCCAGAGCTAGTCCTAATCAGAGTACTTGGTATGATGCAATCTGCTGTATATTAGTTTGATACAATCTGCTATATATTGTGTTCCTGCTCAGGAGCAAACGCCTCTTCTCCTTATGTTTGTTGAACAGACTAAAAGGTTACAGGCCCTCCTTTGAAAAAGCAGATTTTCGCATTATTGTCTTCACTGCTGTCTCTTTTGTTTTGTGCAATGCCTTTATGATTGCTTTCACAATCTATAAGCCAATAAAGACGGGCTCAATTTCTTTTATTGTCATAATACTTTTTCCCATCCAATATTTGTGCTGTTAAGTTAAACACATTGCCCTCATTGCTCAATTTGGATTTGCAGTCATTATCTAGGAGAAACATGGGGAACTTGGCTGCTCTCTAGATATTGTTGGACTCCAAGTCCCATCAGGCTTAGCCAACATAACCAAAATTCAAAGATGATGGAAGTGGGAATTTAATAACATCTGAAGGATCACTGGGTCTCAGTTTCTGCAGGTTGGTCTTTTTCTGTGTTTCTGACAATCGTGCTCCAGAGAAAATGTGTACATAGTGGCTATGGAGATCTTCATCTTTGCCTCCAGTGCTTGCTTTCTGGATTACAACTTTTCATCCAAATGCTTTCTTGTTGTGCTGAGGTATGATCTGAATAAAATGCACCAACTAATAAGGGGGGGGGGATAAAATATTAAATGATCAATCCTATTTGTTTTGCCACCTTTTTTTGTTTCCTCTGAAGTGAATGTTGGTAGCTTTAGCACTGTGGAAAGTGTGGCCTTTGGTAAAGATCTCACCTAGCTCCTCTCAGATCCCAATCAAATAAAATTCTTTGTAATGATTGCCTACTTACTTAATAACTAATTTAGGCTCAATCTCTATTCATTTTTACATGGTCTAGAGATGATTGAAAGATTTGTTGCTGTTGTTTTAAGTTTTGTTTTTTTAAAAGACCAATTATATAGAGGTTATAGCATATTTTCCAGAAATGTATGTAATGGCATCTATGTGCAATCTAGGCACAGATAAAAACAGATACTAGGGGATGCCCCTGGAAGACCCCATAAAATTTACAGAGGTATATACCAGCTGCTTAACCCAAACAGAAGAAAACCTAAACTTCTCCCATTCCCGTCTTTGGGGCCATCTTCTTGCCTTGCTAATAGAAACAACAAAACTAACCAATGAACTTTCACCACAAGATTCAGCCATGCTATAAATTCACCTTTATACTATTAAGGAATAAAGATTGTAGCCCCTCAATTCCCTATGTGTGGACAGTGACACTTGTAGAACACATACAGGGCAGCTGAGTCTCTATTGACACTTTCCCCCTCAAAATATCTTGTGCGCATTTGGGAAATATTCAAATAACAATGTGTCATTGAACAGCAGTCTAATGAGGGATAAACAAAGGTTTCAACAGACATTACAACATTCTTATCCCTTTAGAGAGTAGCAGATTATCTTGAGGGACAGCAAATAAAGATTTTTAAAAAGTAGTTCTCTTGGCTTTCATATCTATGACAGCTACTATGTTGCAATGAGCTTTGAAATAAGGTGACATATTTCAAATTGGTTTTCATCAGCAGTTCTGGTTCTCATGAAACCTCAGAGAGCCCAGAATCATTGCAGAAATGGTTATCCTTCCCCTACAATTATCCATACTATTATAATTGAATCACCTGGACAAACCCCCAATGGCTTCCCTGATTGCAACAGGAAAAAACAAGTATTACATGTTCATAAATACCACAGTGTTCTATTGGCAGCTAAGATTATCTAAAAGCAGGCAGGGCTCTGTCATTCTCCGTATTTCTCCCTTTTTCTATGTATAAGTCAGGCTTCAAATGAGTATCTCCTTTCATCTAGCATTCAAGGCAAAATTTTATAGCACAGCCGAGGCTAAGAGAAAGGTGTATAAGAACTGTTTTGGTGGAATCGCATTAAATCTGCACCATTTTGCTTAAACAGATTTGCTCTTGCAGATAGCGACAGCATAGAGGGACCAGGAAAAATGCATATTTAGAGGGGAAATTTGCCATCAGGAAATTGAGGTGCTGCAATGTTGTTGATACTGCTGCTCTTCTTGCTTCCACACCTGGTGTGCACAGTGCACCCTATGAATTGTGCCCTGACAGACCCCCTCTCAATCCCCCATGAGTGGTACCAGCCAAACGAGTTTGTAATTGGTATGATCGTATCTCAGATGCATTACATTTTCCCCAATATTTTATTTGACAGAGACCCTTCATTGGAGCTGGTTAACTTTCCAATGTAAGAATCCATTTTAATTTTAAATGCATTCTCATGAAAGCTGCTTGCTTTACTTTGTTTGTCTGTTTGCTTTAGACAGAGAGATCCTATATGCATATAAGTTGGCAAACTGCTTTGAGTTTTGGGGAGGGAGAATCTCATATATTAATGGATGGATGTGAATATTGTTTGAAATGAAAGGCAAAATGCACATATTGACTCAACCATGTTTTGTGGTCTGATTGCACTCTAGTTACATTGCTGGTCTATACATATTTTCATCATTTTCATATGGAAATGGGTTAAGGAAGGTGTAGGTTGCAGTTATCCATTTTATTTCTCAGATTTAACGTGTTGGTCTGTGTGGAAATCAGGTAACATAGGATCCTACTAAGTCATGCCTTCAGTTTTAAAATCAAATGTAATTGTTTTCTTTGTTGCATTTCATACTTTTTTCTGCATAAGCTAGCTATTACCTATAAATTTCCTCTTGAATATTTATTTGTTTGTTTGATATATTTCTGGCAAAATCATCAGTACCTGAAAAAGAGTTAAACAGATCTGCAGTCATTCAGGAAGTAATGTGCTATTGAATGGGCTTCTTAGTTCAAGTTATTTGAACATATAGCATTGTATTTACTCATAACTTAGATATTAATGTATCCCACCCCCCGGCCAACATTGGCTTTTGCCTCTGTCATTTGTCTTTGAGTTTTGTTCTCTTTGTGTTTTTTATGTTATTAATCAGTTTAATCCCCTGACAAGCGCATAGGTTTATCTGTCTTGGCGACAAAATCCCTTAGCATTAACATCCCAACATTGTTGCTTATTCTGTGGGTCCAATGCCCAACACAATATTTTTCTCTGTTTTGTGACAACGCCAGCAACCTCTTGAACTAGTTGCTTTATTTGCAGTGTATGTATAAAGTTCTACCAGCATATCATGGCCTCAGTGTTTGCCATTAATGAGATCATGGGAAATCCAAAACTCTTGCCCAATGTCACTCTTGGGTTTCACATCTACGACAGCTGCTCCAATTCAAGGATAACCTACCGTACTACTCTGGACATGGTCTGCAAATCACATAGTTTTTTCCCTAACTATCAATGTGGCATCCCCAAAAATGTAATAGGAGTCATTGGAGGACTTGAATCTGACACCTCCACACGAATGGCAGACATCTTAGGTCTTTACAAGATCCCACAGGTAGGATATGCTGGTGTTCGTTATGGAAAATTTCCATAACCAACATATAATTTACTGCTGCTTGCTCATTCTGCTTTCCTTCTGCAATTTAATAATTTTTAAAGAGGGTGAAGGATAACAACAACAAATATGTGAATCTGCACCAGGGTAATATTGGGGTTTCCAAAACCATAAAGCACCACCTGGAACTCCCTCTTTGGAGAAGCTAGAATGTGTCCCTCCTTATTGTCCTTCTGCCAGCAGTTGAAGACAGGTTTGGGGAACTGACTGCTTTTAATGAAAGAGCTTGTGTTGTGCTGTTTTTGTTGTAATTATTTATATGTCTTAAACTGATTATATGTATGGTTTTTATTCTATTAATGTTACATTGTTTTTAATGACAACCCCCCCCCCGTGTTTGTAGTCATTCTTGTTTTTATCTGTAAGCCGCCTTGAGTCCCATCAGGGAAAAATTATGGGGTATACTACTACTACTACTACCACTGTAGTTAATTTCAGAAACTGTTTCATAAAGTACAACAGCTTCAGGGGATGAAGCTGTCAAATGTTCAATTTATTTACCCAGAACATAAACAGCTGCCTTCTGCCAGCTGAGACAAGTTGTTCATCTAGCTCAATATAGTTCACTGCACCCAAAAGTGGCTCTATAGGAAAAGAGAGATCTTGCACATCGTCTGTATCAAACAAGCCAGTGCCCGTATGTAGCACATTTTTTGTGCAGTGTATCTGATTTATCACCGAGCTGCAGTTTTTCCAACCCTTCCAAACTATGACAGCCTCCCACCCCTTTCTCTGAAATGTCTGTAAATTTATATGCATTTGTTCATTTAGTTTTCTTATGGCTCCTTTGAACCAGCTGCGAATGATCAAAGCAATTGCCCAGCTTTTTACCGCATGGTCCCCAATGAAATCCTACAGTATGAGGGATTTGTCCAGTTACTTGTGCATTTTGGATGGACCTGGGTAGGGCTCATGACAATGGACACCGAAGCTGGAGAGCATTTCTCAAAGGTCTTTGAGACCATGCTTTCTCAGAGTGGAATCTGTTTAGCATTCCAGGAAACTTTTCCAAAAAATGTGCATTTCATCGGCATGGAGGAAATCGTGACTCTCTTTCTCAACATTGTCCCAGATTTCATGAGGAGCACAGCCAACGTAATTGTTTTATATGGAGAAACTGCATCCATTGCATGGGTGACAGGTATTATATTTGTAAAAACACTCTTTCCTATAACAGCTGCTGATTATGAGTTAAGTTCTATAGCGAGAGTGTGGATTATGACAGCTCAAATGGATGTCACATTGCATATAGTTCAGAGGGATTTTAAAATGCAAACGCTCCATGGTGCCATCTCCTTCGCAATTCACTCAAAGAAGGTTCAAGGCTTCCAAGAATTTCTTCAGACTATCAACCCTTTGAAGGCAAAGGGAGATGGTTTTATTAAGGATACCTGGGAGAATGCATTTAGCTGTTCTGTTTCGACAGACTATGTTGATGATCTCTGTACTGGGGAGGAGAGATTAGACAGCCTTCCTGCAACTTATTTTGACATGAGCATGACTGGCCACAGCTACAGTATCTATAATGCGGTCTATGCTCTGGCACATGCCTTACATATTACATACTCATCAAGATTCAGTAGAAGAGCAAAGGAGGATGGGAGACGATTGGCCCCTCATAGTGTGGAACCTTGGCAGGTAATGTCTTCTTATTGACTCTCAATGTTAAAAGGGGAAAATGGTGTCTGATCCGTCTTCACTGAGATACAATCTAATATTTGGGGTGTGTCTCTGCTTGCTGTTTTCAAAAAATCATTATGTGTGGTGTGTGTTCAGGCCACACTTCTTAGAAATCTCATTGGAGGGCACTCTCATATGTATAAGTTCTTCCTATGAGGCTTTCGTGGCTGTGGGAGTGCTAGTAGTGGTAGCAGTTGCAAGAAGATGGTGCAATGATTTGTTGTTTGTTTTTTAAAAAAGTGCTTTCAAAATAAAAGAACTGTTGTCTCTCAAAGTCAGTTGCTGGGCATCACAAATGGGGCGACGGCTGCTGTGCCGAAGTCCGGTTTCAGCTTGGCATTGGCATCTGGTTTACTCCTGTGAGAACAAGATCCTGGAACAGAAGAAACATTGGTCTGATGAATCCGTGTCTTTCTATGTTCTCAGTTCCTTGATTCTCCTTTTCTTTCCATCTAGATTTTCTCTTTAATTCAGAGGATCTCTTTCAACAACAGTATTGGTGATGAATTTAAGTTCAATGAACATGGAGAGTTAGCAGCCGGGTTTGATATTACAAACTTGATCACATTCCCAAATAATTCCTATGTCAGAGTCAAAGTGGGAAGGTTGGAGCCACAGGTATCATCTGGCATAAACCTCACCATTGATGACACGAGAATTGAGTGGCATGAAAACTTCAGTCAGGTTGAAAGTGACTTAATCCTATTTCTCTTCCTTCTCTTCCTCCTCCTCCTGATTCTCCTTCTTTTCCCATGCTAGCAACAGTATGATAATATCTCACTCTTATTTCCTGCACCAGCTTACATTTACATGCCATATCTCCACTCTGAATAGCCAACAGAGGGACTGAATTTTTCCCCCCCCCAATGCCAATGTTCATGATCATTTAAGGAGCCTGGGAGACATTATATTGAACATAAAAATAACAAGTCATTCTTCATGCATTACATGATTAACTTTTGCAGCTAATGAGCCTACATACTGTGGTGTCAAGTAAGCTTTTCTTTCTAAAACAAAGCTTATGACTTTGTTGTTGTTTTATTATTTTATAAACCATACTCAGAGTGAATATGCCCATACGGTTTGAAGGAAGTTGAAACTCTTACTCACATCCTACAATATTGCCATTTTTATAGGGACATCCGTTCTATACTTATCACCCCAATCATGCAGCGAATCTCAAGCAGATTTGATGACCACTAGTTAGAATATCTAATAGAGGACAGGGAAAGTGACTAAATTCTGTGTTTCTGCTATAAAACTAAGGAGACAAGCTCTGAATGAATATGGTGGCCAATGTCTTAACGTGCACATTTTAAATTAGTGGTTAAAGGCTTTAACCTGTATATTTTAATTGTTTTATATCTGCATTACTTATCGTGTTTTAGCTTATAGATTTTAATTTTAACCTATTTATATTTTTTTTTAATTGTTGTATATTTCTGTATTTCTGGTCTGTGGCCATAATAAATCTATTCTTCTTCTTATTGGGTTAGTCTGTCTCAGTTTCCATAAAACTGATATAGGGTAATAGCCATCTAAGACATAATAATTTAATTGAGAAAGGGTATTTCACCAATACTTTAAAGCTGGATGGCTGACAGCAGTGAAGTGATGGACCTTACTCTAAGCCTTCTATATTCACTGGAATAGATCCATGAGGTCTATGCAACTGAAGGTAACATTTTCCTTTCTTCAATAACAGGTACGTCCCTTCTCCCAGTGTAATGAAAAATGTCCTCCTGGTACCAGCAAGAAAAAGAAAGAGGGGGAGAAATTTTGTTGCTATGATTGCACTTCGTGTCCGGAAGGGAAGATTTCAGACCAGCAGGGTAGGAGATTTATTATTAAGAAATATGGATCTGATCAAATAGTCAATTGTGTGTGACTTGTGACAAGTTGTATAATCTGAAAGATATACCAATGCCTGTCTTTGATTATCTTTTTGCCTCCTTGGTAGCTGTCTGAAGTAGAAATGAAATAATGTGTTTATCACGCATTCTCCAATTATCTTAAATGGTTTTGCTCGGTCAGTTGGATAAAAAAGAAAGGCAATCTGTATAGAATACCCCCAGCGTGCTCCTGATCATGGCTCAACCACTGAGTCTTGTAATTGTTTTATTGGGTTTCTATTATGAGAAATGGGGATGTGGGTGGCTGTGGGTTAAACCACAGTGCCTAGGACTTGCCGATCAGAAGGTCGGCGGTTTGAATCCCGCAACGGGGTGAGCTCCCATTGCTCGGTCCCTGCTCCTGCCAACCTAGCAGTTCGAAAGCACATCAAAGTGCAAGTAGATAAACAGGTACAGCTCCGGCAGGAAGGTAAATGGCATTTCCATGTGCTGCTCTGGTTTGCCAGAAGTGGCTTAGTCATGCTGGCCACATGACCCGGAAGCTGTACGCCGGCTCCCTCAGCCAATAAAGCGAGATGAGTGCCGCAACCCCAGAGTCGGCCATGACTGGACCTAATGGTCAGGGGTCCCTTTACCTTTATTATGAGAAATGGGGAAACACAGCTTTCCCTCCCATCTCCTGGAAACCTTCCTATGCTTTTATGTGAAGCACAAGTGATGCAGGTTCTGGAGATCAAGAAAGGCAAAATGCACATTTTCTCCTTTCTTCCCTTGTGAAGTCTCTTGATACTGAATAGGGAGTAGAGGTTTTTAACCTCACACCATATGAATATTGGTGCATCACTGCCTCCAAGATACTATTCAGTGTGAGAGGCTCAAGTAGAGCTCTTTCTCCCTCCCTTCCTTCTTTTTTCTTCAGATGTGTCACCATCTATCTTTCTTATAAATGCTATCATGAGGTCCACAGAGTCTCATCAGGTTATTTTTTCATTTTTTTGTTTAGAAATTTGCTTTTAATTTACAAATAAATAAATTTATGCATATCTGTGGGGATTGGCAGATTGTGGAAAACTACTGCTTTAGGGCTGTATCCAACCAAATCCTACTCCGAGTAGATCCACTTAAAGAAGTTGATGAACATAATGTAGTCATGTGCATTAATTTCAATACATCTACTCTGCATAGGACTAGCACTGGACACAACCCTCAGTTTCAGGTTTTGTTGTTTCACTTCCAGACTGATAAACATAATGTTTAGTATTGGAAGGAAGAGGTGAGCCTTTTTGAGGTAATCAATACATTCTCTGTCAATTTTAAAATCCCCTCTGGGGAAAAAAGCAAATTGTTTAGCAAAAAAACACCCTAAACTCATAAAATAAGCATAAAATAAGATGAACAGCAGTTTGGACAATTTAAAACCAGCAAAAAACTAATATCACACAGACAGTTGGGGCACTCAACATATTAAAATTTAAAAAGCCTAGGGGAAAATATACTTGGAATACCTGTTATGTTCTACACACTGCTCTAAATTCCCATCATACAGCTTTATAAAGAATGTATAGTTAGGGTCTGATATGGTTAGGGTCTTTTGTGGCTGCAAGTATATGGAACTGTTTGAAAGGGGTATCTTATTCCAGAAAACAAATCAGTTTTAAATATGATATTTCTTCCACTTTTAGACATGGATTTTTGCATCAGCTGCTCAGAAGATCAGTACCCAAATAAGGAAAAGGATCACTGCCTCCCCAAAGTCCAGACCTTCCTCTCTTTCGAAGAACATTTGGGTATTTCTTTAGCAACACTGGCTCTATACTTTTCCCTGGTCACAGCTCTGGTACTTGCAGTCTTCATTAAGCACAGGGACACGCCCATTGTCAAAGCCAACAACCGAAGCCTTACCTATATTCTCCTGATCGCTCTCCTTCTTTGCTTTCTCTGCTCTTTGCTCTTCATTGGACAACCCAATAAGGTGACCTGCCTGCTCCGACAAACAGCATTTGGCATCATCTTCTCCATTGCTATTTCTTCAGTTTTGGCCAAAACCATTACAGTGGTTGTAGTTTTCATGGCCTCCAAACCAGGAAGCATTTTCCGGAAATGGGTGGGGAAAAGGTTGGCACTTTCAATTGTCTTTTCCTGTTCTCTTACTCAGCTAGGCATCTGTGCTGTTTGGTTGGCCACATCTCCCCCATTTCCAGGTCAGGACATGCACTCAGTGTCTGGAGAAATCATTGTGGAATGTAATGAAGGGTCAGTCTCCATGTTCTACTGTGTCTTGGGCTACATGGGCTTTTTGGCAACCATCAGTTTCAGTGTAGCTTTCCTAGCCAGAAAGTTGCCAGACAGTTTCAATGAAGCCAAGTTCATCACTTTCAGCATGCTGGTCTTTTGCAGTGTGTGGCTATCCTTTGTTCCAACCTACCTGAGCACCAAGGGAAAATACATGGTAGCTGTGGAAATCTTCTCCATCTTGGCCTCCAGTGCTGGGTTGCTAGGCTGCATCTTTTCTCCAAAATGCTACATTATTATTTTGAGGCCTGAGTTGAACAACAGGGAACAGCTAAAACGAAGAAATAATTGAATAATGGCACAGTTTCTGGTGTCATTTTAAGGTCCTTAAAGGAACACATTAACAAGTACTTGGGTCATCCACCAGGAACTGCGCTACACTTACAACTTTTTGCTGAAATTATATATCTAAGGATTTTGAATATATTCAGAAATAAAATAATATTTTGCATGCAGTATTTATGTGTGTTCACTTTTTGCACAAATCTGAAGAAGTGCACAATCTGACTGTGACATGATTTCTGACCAAACAAATTTCTGCTGTGGAGTGTGTGTGTGTGTGAAAGAGAGAGAGAGAGAGAGAAGGGAAATACAAGCTGAGCAATAATTGTGAGTAATAAATGGTTCTTAGGCATTAGGTCTGGGGGAGAAATGCTGCCCATCCAATTGTTGCTTGATGACAACTGAGGGAGCAAAAATTCCAAACCAAATCAGATGGGGGGGAAATGTGAGTCTGTATTAGAATACATAAGCATGATTAAGATGAATGTATTACCATAAAGTTGCATATGTTCTGTATATGGTACAGAATCTGTTGCAGTAGATACTACAAATAAGACCTAAATGGAATGACAAAAAATAATTGCCCGATTTGTTTGGTGAGGAAAAGAGGCAGTTGTAGAGTTTATGAGTTGATCCCAGAAACAGGTAGGTATTATTATTCAGGCATTCTGTTCTGGGTCATAAGGTCATCCCAAAAAGGAAATATATAATATATGCCAATGGAAGAGTTAATGGCACAGACTGACATACCTGACATCAGGCAAATATGAGGTGTCCCCCCCCCCCCGGCAAGCAAGGCTCCCTCTCAGCTCCCATCAGCACTAACACCTCTGGGATGTCCCACTGGAATCAGCTGCATGTGCAAGTTCCCCATTAGGAACTTTTTAGGCTGAGCCCCACAACTTCAAGTAAGTGACACAAGTTAACCTCAAAAGTTTTCTTAACTGGGTAGGAAAAGGGTGATCTGAAAGAAGAAGAAGAGTTTGGATTTGATATCCTGCTTCATCACTGCCCGAAGGAGTCTCAAAGCAGCTAACATTCTCCTTTCCCTTCCTCCCCCACAACAAACACTCTGTGAGGTGAGTGGGGCTGAGAGACTTCAGAGAAGTGTGACTAGACCAAGGTCACCCAGCAGCTGCATGTGGAGGAGCAGAGACACAAACCCGGTTCCCCAGATTATGAGACTACCCCTCTTAACCACTACACCACACTGGTGTATGTTTGGGACATTGGGGACATTGACACCAGTCCCTTGTCATGGTCAGCTTTCAGCACCTTTCCCCTTCTGCAAAGGTGGAGGACCTATGAGGATGGTCTCCCCACAGAGGCTGATGGATCCAATGGGATTCCAGATGGCTCTGGGGGTTTTTCTGGCTGATATGACCAGCACTCTGGTCAAAGCACTGCTCAACCTCTGGAATATCCGAATGGGTTGGGCCATTGACATGGCTGATATTGAGCACCCTTGCCCACTTGGTTAAAAAGAAAGCAAACTGGTATGGAAATGTGAATTAAAGACTGTGAAAACAGAAACTGAGAAAAACCAAAATTGCTCCTCTCTGTATGCTGATGACAATGTCCTGGTTAAATTAAGAAATATGTCCCAGCATTTAACCTAGTTATAGAAGGCTTGGAGTGGAAAAAAGAATAGTATTGCATGCCATCCCCAATCTCTGAGTGGTGCAAGAGTCCAGAGAATTCCAGACATGTTTTCCCATGTTTATTGTTTCCTTTTAGAAATTGAGACACATATGAGACTATCGCATCTTTGTGATATATGGTTTATTTACACATATGTCCAACCTGAGCCTACGGTGGAGGGGTTCACAGCATAATCACCCTAGTAGGGTCTTGTTTCTCCCATATCTGCAACCTTGGATTCAAACTGACCTCAGCCATAACTCTGGCCATCTCTCTAACTTTCTGTGTTTTACGGACTGCTGCCTTTACCAGACTGCAACCTTTTTTCCTTAGCTCAAATCACGCCCAAAATCCTATTCTAAATTCAACTCTGCTTCAAGAAAGGGGGTAAGGGGAAAATCACAAAGGAGGAAATACATGAGTAGCCAACAGTTGCAGGGGGAAAGCTGGACTGGCTAAAGCTGGGGTTTGCAAGAGAAGTTAAAAATAAAATAAAAGGTTTATTTGGCTATGTCTGAAGAGGAAGAACAAGCAAGTGGTAGATCCTCTATGTGGGAAAGATTACTCAACACCTACTTTGCCTCTGTCTTCACCCGAAAGGGAAGTGATGCCCAACCTAGTGATAACAGAATAAATGATGTAAGGAGGGAGCACCAGCCCAAGATAGGAAAAGAGGTAGTGAGGGAACACCTAGCTACTTTAAATGAATTCAAATCTACAGGGCCTGATGACCTGCATCCAAGGGTACTAAACAAACTTGTGGATATAATTTCAGAGCATTTGACTATTATGTTTGAGAATTCTTGGAGAACAGGTGAGGTCCCTACAGATTGGAAGCGGGCAAATATTCTCCCCAACTTCAAAGGGGGAGGAGAGGAAGACCCAGGAGCCGGGTATGTTTAGCCTGGAAAAGAGGAGAGTGAGATAGCCATCTTCAGATATCTTAAGGGCTGTCACACGGAAGAGGAAGCATGCTTGTTTCGTCCTGCTATGAAGGGTAAGACTCAAACCAATGGCTTCAAGTTACAAGAAAGGGGATTCTGACTAAACATTTGGAAAAACTTTCTGATAGTAAGAGCTGTTTGGCAGTGGAACAGACTCTCACGAGAGGTGGTGGACTTTCCTTCCTTGGAGGTTTTTAAACAGAGGTTGGATAGCCATCTGCCATGGATACTTTAGCTAAGATTACTGCATTGCTGGAGGTTGGACTATATGACCCTTGGGTCCCTTCCAACTTTTATGATTCTATGAAAACTCTTTGTCTTCTGAACTAACTCTGACACAAACAGTTCCCTCCCTTTGGCTTTCTTGTTCGTCTGATACCTTCCCTTTGTCATTTGTAGTGGCTCATCAACTAGGAAATTACCAACCTAGCTTGGCTATTCAAGCAATTGAATCCATGCCGGATCCAGGGATTAGAAGCAGGGTCCAAGAATTAGAAGGGAGTCTGGGCATTCAGCCTACCACCTCCCCCAAAAAGTCTCATAACACCATGAAGAAAGTGAAACAAAGGGCTCAGGTGGGATCTACCATTCTGCGTAAATATCAACAGAAGTTGTTTTTTTGATTCAGTGGTACCTTGGGTTAAGAATTTAATTCATTCTGGAGGTCCGTTCTTAACCTGAAACTGTTCTTAACCTGAGGTGACAATTTAGCTAATGGGGCCTCCCGTTGCCGCTGCACCACGGCTGCACAATTTCTGTTCTCATCCTGAAGCAAAGTTCTTAACCCGAGGTACTATTTCTGGGTTAGCAGAGGCTGCAACCTGAAGCGTCTGTAACCCGAGTTGCCACTGTACATTAATTTTTTTTATAAAAAAAAGATTTGCACTGAAAACTAACTTGATTTCATGTTTGATATATATGTCAACTAATAAAATTCAGAAAATCATGACATAAAACCAGCATTATTTCATTATACCCAGGCAATAAAGTATTGAATAATAGAAAGATTTCCTTTACAAATTGTTGTGTGTGTGTGTGTGTGAATATATCAGACTTGCATCTCATTTTCTTTTAAAAAAAGCCCATTTCACACCACAAAATTCTGAAGAAATTTAGACCCTTCACGTAGTCCCAATTTATTAACACATTTTACATTTCAGTATAGATTACCCAAAATATAAATAAAAACATGAAGTCTTTCTTCATATGTTACAGAAATAGACTTTGGAGTTTCAGATTGGGTCCCACAAAGAAGACTATTTTGATAGGATTATAACTTCACTTAAAATAAAAAGTGATGATTTCACAACAACCCTATGATAATTGCTTCAGTCTGGCTCCCACAAAGAAATATAACTTCAATAAAAATAAAATATTTTTTTCATCTCAAAACAACCCTACAATAATAATAAATGCTTAAATACTTTCATTATTTCACATAGTACCAGTTTTTCTGTAGCTATGTTATATTTTCCTGTGCAGGTGAAAAATACCCAGATTTATTATTCATTTATTTCTCTGCATTATCTGCTCTTTGTTGTTAAGCTCAGGCCTGAAAACAATAATGTAGCATTTAGGAGAAAAGATACATCCTAGTAACCCTGCACTGGAAGCCAAGATGGAGAAAATCTCCACAGCCACCATGTATTTTCCTCTGGTGCTCAGGTAAGTTGGAACAAAAGAGAGCCAAACGCTGCAAAAGACCAGCATGCTGAAGGTGATGAACTTGGCTTCATTAAAACTGTCAGGCAACTTCCTGGCTAGGAAAGCTACAGTGAAGCTGACAATGGCTAGGAAGCCCATGTAGCCCAAGACACAATAAAACATGATGCTTGAGCCTTCATTACATAGCAATATAATTTCTTCAGTCCCTGAAGGTGTGTCCACATCTGGGAATGGTGGAAAGGTTCCCAACCACAGAATACAAATCCCTACTTGAGTACTGGAGGAGGAGATGACTACAGAATAAGCCAAGCGTTTTCCAATCCATTTCCTCATCCTGGATCCTGGTTTAGTAGCCATGAATGCCAAAACCACAGAGATGGTTTTGGCCAAGATGCTAGAAAGGGCTACAGAGAAGACAATGCCAAAAGCAGTTTGTCGCAGAAGACAGGTCACCTCATTAGGCCTTCCAAGAAACAACAAAGAGCAGAGGAAACACAAGAGGAGGGAGATGAGAAGAATGTAGGTGAGGCTTCTGTTGTTGGCCTTGACTATGGCAGTGTTCCGGCATTTAATGAAGATGACAAGCACCAGAACTGTGGTCAGAGACAACAAAAGCGCAAAGGAAATTAGAACAATGCCCAAAGTGTCATCAAAAGCCAGGAAGTTTGGAATCTTAGGAATGCATCCATCCCGATCTTTGTTTGGATAGTGATCATTTGGACAAGAGACACAAGTTTCCATATCTGGGGAGGGGGAAAGA